CCCCAGGCAGTCCTTTCGGACCGGCACGCCAGGGGACACCCCAGATGGATCGTCCTCTGGCGACTTCAGCGAGGGGATTTCAGCCCCCATGGACTTCTACCGCTTTACCGTGGAGAGTCCAAATGCTGCTGCACCAGGTGGTGGCCACAATGACGCTGCAGGGACTGGCCAACCGCCACATGTTTCTGGTAGCCCTGAGACTCCTAAAGAAGAAGAAGAAAGCGGACAGGGAGAAGCAGTTGGGGCAGTAGAGGAATCTGAAGGAGTGGGCAGTGAACCCCAAACCGCCCAGATGGACACCATCAATCCCGAGGCTGTCGGTGAGCCAAAGAAGGAGCAGCCCAGCCCTTCCTTGAGCAGCGCTGAGGACTCTGGTGTGGAGGAAGGTCAGGGCAGCCCTTCGGAGCTCACCCATCCCTCGGAGTTCAGGTGAGGCTGGGTCTGCTCAGCTCAGCATATGGAGTTTGTGTGAGCACAGAAATGTGAAGAGCTGCTGATACTCAAGCTGATACTTTCCTGTGGTCCTCCAATTGTGGGGCAAAGCCCATCCTTTTCCAGGATGAAGGTGGTGCTCAGGGAGTCACAAGAAGGTCTTGTGGGCCAGCAGGTGCCCTAATCACACACATTCACTCAGAAAGGTACTGGACCCACCCAGCCCCACATATTTGTCTGTCCTTCAGCCTGTTCTGTCCGTCTTTGCAGGGTGGACAACAACCATCTGCTCCTGCTGATGATCCACGTCTTTCGGGAGAATGAGGAACAGTTGTTCAGGGTAAGACAGTCACATGGGGCAGGCACACAAATCAGTCAAAAATCACACAAAGAGCCGCCTCTGTCTGCTTTGGCCATGGGCTGAGAGCTTTCCTCCTTGCACACAGATGATTCGAATGAGCACCGGGCACATGGAGGGGAACCTGCAGCTGGTCTACGTCCTGCTGACAGATTGCTATGTGTACCTGATCCGGAAAGGTATCTCAACAGCTCCTGCTCATCAGGGCTGCTACAAGTCTCAGTTTATCAAGGACAGCCCCTTGGAGGTCTGGGAGCTGGGGGAAGTGATGCTTGATCTGTGGCTTGCTCAGTGATTAGGGCATTGTAACTCATCAATGTTCACCAGTTCCTTCGTGCTCCCAAGAGCAGTGGCAATAGCAGCAGTGAGATCAGGGCCCTCTAAGGAGCCCTAGGACCTGTGCCCTGTAGCTCCTCACCCCTGGGACGTGGCTTCTCTTGCTGGTTCCAGGCAGTGACAGGTTCCTTTGCCCCCCTTCATGCAGCTCTTTGTCTCTGTGCCAGGGGCAGCAGAGAAGCCATACATGGTGGAGGAGGCCGTTTCCTATAATGAGCTCGACTACATTTCGGTGAGTGCCATCTGGGGAGGGAGCAGGGGGCAGGTTGGTGGTTATCCTCGCCTCTTTGCCTGCAGGGATGGCAGCAGCAGCACGGTAGAATGTTTCTGTGGGGCTCTTTGTCCATGAGGAGCATTTTGGACTGTGAATCTTTGAGAGGGAGAGTCAGAAGTGTTGCTCTCCAATGCCACCTCTGTTGGTGCTTGGGTCGCTGTGTCTCCGCACAGGCAGCGGAGCGCCTGCCGACCTTCTCCCCCAGGGCCACGATGCCAGGTTCAGCCCTGCTCCACCACCCTTTGTCCTCTGTCTTGCTTCCTTACCCAGTCATGTGTGACACAGGTGGGGCTGGATCAGCAGACGGTGACGCTGGTGTGCACCAATCGGAGGAAGCAGTTCCTGCTCGACACTGCAGATGTGGCTCTCACAGAGTAAGTGGGCACCGACAGCCCCTCACGTCATCAAAATCCTCCAGTCAGCAGAGGGACCCTCGGCTGTCAGGGCAGGTGGAGCTGACAAAGGCCTGCCTCCATAGCTGCGTCTCCCTCCCTCTCAGGTTCTTCCTGGTCTCCTTGAAGTCAGCCATGATCAAGGGGTGCCGGGAGCCACCGTACCCCAGTATCCTCACAGATGCCACCATGGAGAAACTGGCACTTGCAAAATTTGTGGCTCAGGAGTCCAAGTGTGAGGTGAGTTCAGACACGGCAGCCATCGCTGCACTTGGTGGAGCATCGCGCTGGACACCATCCTGCTCACATCCCTGCCCATCCCGCAGGCCTGCGACGTGGTGGTGCGTTTCTATGGCCTCGTACACTGGGAGGACCCCATGGATGAGACGCTGGGACCCTCTCCCAACAGCTACACCTCTGCTGAAAATGCAGTCACAAAGGATGGCGTTCTGCACTACAAGGCGGGCACCTCGTACCTGGGCAAGGAGCAGTGGAAGACCTGCTTCGTGGTGCTCAGGTGGGTCTGGGAGAAGATCCCTGGCCAGTTTTCTTTTGCTGCCCAGAGGAGGGCCCATCTCATCACCTGGGAGGCTGAGATAAAAGCCCCTGTTGTGGCGGCCAGCAGCAGCAGCACAACCCCTGTGTGCACAGGGCTGGGCAGGAGTGTCTGTGTGACCGAAGCCATGTTTGTGTGGTTGGCAGAGCTGAGCTGGCTCCGCTGACCATCTCTCATCTTTCCAAATGGCAGCAATGGGATCCTGTACCAGTACCCTGACCGCACAGATGTCACACCTCTGCTCTCCATCAACATGGGGTAAGCAGCTGGTAGGATGTGGTCCCAGCTGGGAAAATGGAACAGGCTGGTGAACAGCTCAGGGAAGGTGGATGGGGGCAGGGCTTGCTGTCATCAGGACAGCGCTGCCATCCATCCTGACCTCCCTCCTCTCTCCCAGCGGTGAGCAGTGCGGGGGATGCCGGCGCTCCAACACCACCGACCGGCCCCACTCCTTCCAGGTGATCCTGACAGACCGGCCCTCCCTGGAGCTGAGCGCTGACAACGAGGAGGACATGGCCGACTGGATGCAGTATTTCTGCCAGGCCGTCTCCAAAGGGGTGAGCTGCACACGCGAGTGAACAAATCCCTCCTGAGCCTCTCTGGGTCCAACCTCCACGGTCCTTTCCGTGATGTTCCCCAAAGAGCGGGATAGAAAGTGATGTTTTAGGGCACTTCCCTTCACGTGCATGTGGCACCATGGAGATGGGGCTCCTTCATTTCAGGATCCATCTCCCCTTCCCCACCCGCTACATGCAGGTCATCCCCCAGGGTGTAGCCCCTACGCCGTGTGTCCCATGCTGCCTGGTGCTGACAGATGAGAAGGCCTTCACCTGTCATGAGGACTGCCAGACCAGCTTCTTCCGCTCGCTGGGCACCGTGGAGCTGACAGACATCACCTCCATCTCCACGGAGGCCAACAAGGAGTACTGCATCCTGGTGAGCGAGGTGATTTGCGGTGGCCTGGGGCTGGGCAGGGCCGTGGTAGCAACACCCGCTTTTTCTCACGTTCAGGAGTTTGCTCAGGACCACAAGCAGTTCCTGCCTCCCTGGGTGCTCTATTTCAGTTGCACTACAGAACTGGAGAGGTTCCTCTCAGCACTGAACGCCGCGTGGAGAAACAAATACCAGGTGAGTGTGCGCTCTGCACGGACATTTCCGTGCCTGTAGGCAAGGCAAGCCCTCCTATCTGCAGAGGGCACGCAGCCCCAGAGCTCTGTGCCCATACATCCATGGGGTGTGGGATGGGGTGCGAGAAGGAGCTGTGGTGCCTCCCTGCCTGACTGCTCCACGCGTTGCAGGTTGACCTCCTGCACAAGGCCATTCTGGACGCAGCTGTCAAGAAGAAATGTGAGGATGCTCAGAGCCTCATCAACAGCGCCTGGCAGCGCAGCGACAGCCTGTGCCGTGGGCGGGCAGAGCGAGACCCCTGGTGTTAGCCCTGAGGGGGGAGGACGGCTGACAGACAGCCCAGATGCTCTCAGTGGGCACGGACAGCGCCTGTGAGCGGCGGCATCCCAACCTCCTGCCATCTCGTGGTCCCCGTGGCCATGCTGGGGACGCAGCCAGCCTTGCCCTGCTGTGCAGCCTGCGCCCTCCTCGCCATCCAGCTGCTGTGGGGCAGAGCGCGTTGCCTTGAGAGGAACACCCCGCTGTGTTGGAGTGGGGTGGGATGGGGCTGGGCATCCACCGTGCACAGCACGACTTTGTTCTGTGCAGAACAGAGCAGGTGGCAGCCATGGTGAGACGGGCGCTGAATCACATCGTGCATGTTTTCTCCTTGCTGATGCAATCACTGCGTATGGCACTGCTCCTTCTGAGCCCCCTCTGGGCACGGGGAATCTCACCACAGGCAACGCATCCAGACGTGGCCAAACCACACACCGAGCTGGCGCCAGGGCTGAGGCTGGAGGTGCTGAGCAGGGAACGATGGGGAAAGAAGAGGGAACGTGGCCAGAAGTTTGGCCTTGAATATCCTGGCCGTGAGCGGTCTGGTTTTAGGAGGCGGCAGGAGCTCTGGGCTTGGATGTGTGATGGGACAAACCCCGACAGGGAGAGATGGAGTCCAGAGCTCTTCAGGGGCCGAAGGGCTGCGGCTGCCCCACCGTGCTCAGCTCCGTCACTGTGCCCAGAGGACAGGGGCAGCAGCCCCATGTCGGCCCCATCGCTCCCCCCTCTGCCACACACCCTGCGGGCACAGTCTGAGCTTTTAAACAGTACTACGGAGATCTCATGTAATATACGTCTGCGGGGCCTTTTTCTGGGAGGAATTGTATGTGACTGAATGTATATATATATACATCTGCTTCCTTTCCCCTCCTCCCCAAATAAATACTCGTTGGTAACTCAGCTCTGGCCCTGCAGCGCGCACGGGGCTGGGATTCCCTTGCTGCTGGTTGTGGGGTTTGCCGTGCTCTGCTGGGTGCGCCCCTCGCTCCTTCCCCCGACGTCCCTCTGCTGTACCCGCATTGGCGCCGCGTCCCGTTGCGGCAGGGCGCCCCGCCGCCGGATGGGACGCGGGGAGAGACGCGCCGTTGACCTTTGCTCCGCATCCCGCCCCCAAATCGGGGTCGGCAGCGGGCTGGGCGGCGCTCAGTCGCCCCCCCCCCCCCCAACTCCTCGTGTCCGCAGGACGAGGAAGGCGGAGCGCGGGGCTACTGGCAGGGCGTGCAGGTGCTGCATGGCGGCGGGCACCGGGGCCCTCGGGCCCTTCCCCGCCGCCGCGCTGCACGATTTCCCCTACTCCCCTCAAACCGCGGCCCCCGTCTCCCACGGCCCCCCGGCGGGGGGGGTTCCTCCGGCCGCCGATTTGGTGCTGGGAGCCGCGGCCGGCTGCATGGCCTGCGTGCTCACCAACCCGCTGGAGGTGGTCAAGACGCGGCTGCAGCTGCAGGGCGAGCTGCGGGCTCCCGGCACCTATCCCCGGCCGTACCGCGGCGTGCTGCGGGCGGTGGGAGCCGTGTGCCGTGCCGACGGGCTGCGGGGGCTGCAGAAGGGGCTGGCGGCGGGGCTGCTGTACCAGGGGTTGATGAACGGCGTCCGCTTCTATTGCTACTCCTGCGCGCTGGACGCCGGCTGGACCGGGTGGCCCGGGGGCACCGTGGTGGCCGGGGCGGTGGCCGGGGCGGTGGGAGCCTTCGTGGGCAGCCCCGCGTACCTGGTGAGTGCTGCGGGCCGGGGGGGGGGAGGAGCCCCCTGGCTCTGCGTGCTGCGCATCCCCGTCCCCGCCCGGCTTTGCCCCCCGAGCACAGGGGCGCGTTGTGCGTGCCGTGCCGCAGCCCTCCTGCTCGCCCCCTCCCGAGCCCAGAGTTCCACTGCAAGGAAATCGGGATTTCTCCCTTTTTGGGGTCTCCATCTCTTGGGGTGCTCGGAGGCGGAGCCGCTGCGGTGCCACTGCGGCCCTTTGCCCCAGGGCAGGGTGGGAAAATGGGAGTTCAGAGTCTGGGGGGGCACGTAGTTGGGTGCCCCGTATCACCCGGGGGGCTCAGATGGCCCCAGAAGGTGCTTTCCTGACGCTGGGAAAGGATGCTGAAGCCCATGGAGGGAATGCACAGGGCAAAGGGGGGTTCTGTCACCTGGTGTCACCCGGTGTCGTTCATCCCTGCAGGTCAAGACCCACCTCCAAGCCCAGACGCTGTCAGCCATGGCCGTGGGCCACCAGCACAACCACGAGGTGAGAAGGACCGGGCCCTGCAGGCAGCGCTTGTAGGGCTGGCAGAGGGGACACCATTTTGTCCTGCAGTATTTAAAGCCGTTGTCAGGTGGGTGCTATAAATATCAGCATGGGCTGCTCGGAAACAACGTGCGTGGCACTGAGGGATGTGGTGACATTGGGGTGACAGTGACGAGGTTGTGTGGGGGTTGGGGTATGGATGTGCTCACCCAGTGTTTCTCCCTGCAGAGCATCTCGGACGCCTTCGGGAGCATCTACCGGCAGCACGGCGTGGCAGGGCTGTGGCGTGGGGTGTCAGGTGCGGTGCCACGCGTGGCGGTGGGCTCGGCTGCACAGCTCGCCACCTTCGCCTCTGCCAAGGACTGGGTCTGCCAGCACCAGGTGACCCCCGCGCCCCGCCTCAGCCCCGTGCTGCGGTGCCACCGCTGACGGCTGTGGATTCCCGCAGTGGTTCGGGGAGGGCAGCTGGGCAGCGGTGCTGGCGGGCGGCATGGTGAGCGGCATGGCCGTGGCGGTGACGATGACGCCGTTTGACGTGGTCAGCACTCGGCTCTACAACCAGCCCGTGGAGGCTGACGGCACGGTGAGTGCGTGGCCTTGGGATCTGGGGTCCTTTCCCGGCTCAGCCGGGCTGCATCCGGCTGTCTCTCCGCAGGGCAAGCTGTACCGTGGCTTCCTGGACTGCTTTGTGCAAATCTCCAGCAAGGAGGGGCTGCTGGGGCTCTACAAGGGCATCGGCGCCGTCTACCTGCGCCTGGGCCCCCACACCGTGCTCAGCCTTTTCTTCTGGGATGAGCTCAGGAGGATGGTGCGGCCGCAGCCCCCCCCGGGGCCATAGGACCCCACGGATACAAATAAAGGGATGTATTTTTTTTTGTTTTGCTGGAGCTCTGGGGGTCTTTGGGGCGCAGTGGGACCGGGAGGGGTGATGGAAAAGCCGTGGGGACGCTGCGGCGTTCTGAGCCTCGCCGCCACCTGAATGTCCCCTCCTATGGGGCCAGAGGTGCAGCCACAGGCAATGATTTACCAGCCCGTGCCCCCGCCCGCAGACCTTTGAGCTGGGCCTGGCGCTGCTCTGTGTGGCGATGCTGTCCCTGGGGTCCTGGCTGCCCGCGTGGCCGGGGCTGGCGTGGGGCTGGGCGCTGCTGGACGCAGTGCTGCGAGGTGAGGCCACGGGGACGTGGGGATGTTGGGGACACTGGGGACACGGTGACACGGCACTGCTTCTTCCTGCAGGGCTGGTGGGGGCCTGCGCCACCTCGGTGCTCTGCAGCCTGCTGAGGGTTTATCTCTACATCCAGTGCCTGAAGTAAGCTCCCGCCCCGCATCCACACGGGATCTGATTCTGGGATCCGTGTTGGGGGATCCATTTTTGGGGGGTCTGGTTTTGGGAGGATCCTCTTTTGGGGATCTGCCTTTGGGATCCACCGCGTTTGGAGATCTGCTTTGGGAAGGCTCTGCTGTGGCGATCTGCTCTTGGGGATCTGCTTTTGAGTATCCACATTTAGAGATCTGCTTCTGGGTTGGCTACATTTGGCTAACTGCATTTCGGATCCAGCTCTGGGCGATGCACATTTTGGGTATCTGTTTTGGGGGATCCACATTTGGAGATCCAATTTTGTGTTATCCGCCTTTGGGATCCACATTTTGGGTAGCCTCTTATGGAGGATCTGCTTTTGGGGATCCCCCCTTGGGGATCTGCTTTGGCTTTCTCCTTTTGGGGTCTGTGCTTTTGGGAATCCTCTTTTGAGATCCCCTTTGGGGGTCTACTCTTGGCCATCCACTTTTTGGGATCAGCTTTTAGCTATCTTCATTTGGGGATCCCCATTTTGGATGCTCCCCTTTTTGGATCCCCACCCCTTGGTTTTCCACTTCGGGGTTCCCTCTTTGGGTTTTCCTTTTTGAGGGATCTGCTTTTGGGATCCCCTTCGGGGTCTGCGTTTGGTCTCCATCCAGCACCCCTAGCTGTTGCTGCGGGCAGGGAGGTGACCCCGTCCTGCTGTACCCCGCTGTCCCCAGCGACCCGGCACGGCAGGACCTGCGGGTGGCCCTCGGGGCGCGGCGGTTGGTGCTGGAGCCGCTGCACGTGCTGGTGCTGACGGCCATCCTGGCGCTGGTGGGCTCCCGCGTGGCCGCGCTGGTGGTGCTGGAATTCTCCCTGCGCGCCATCTCCACGCTCCTCTCCCTCAGCAAGGTGAGCGGGGACAGGGAAACCGAGGTGTGGTGATGGGCGAGTCACACATCCTCCTGACGCTTGCATGATAGCGTTGGTGCTTTGCAACACCCATGCTGAGGACAAGAGATGCAGCATGGAGGAAAGTGCGCATGGCGGCACGGTGGTGCATGGCTTGGCAGTGGTGTGTGGCTTTGCATGGTACGTGGTGTTGCGACGGCGCATCGCCTTGCTGCTTTGCACCCCCTCCTGATGCAGCTCCTGACGGCTTCGTCCCGCTCCCACAGGGCGCCCACAGCATCCAGCTGCTCGTGCTGTGCCAGTTCTCGCTGGGCTGCGGGCTGTCCTGTGGCCTCAGCTTCCTGCTGGAGGAAGCTCCCCATGGGACCTGCAACCTGGTGCTGGCGGCGGGGCTGGCGGGGCTGCTGGCCGTGCACACCCGCCGCTTGGCCCTACACACCTGCACGCTGTATGAGCTGCACAGCCGAGCGCGGTACTGCGGCGTCTGCATGCTGCTGCTCACCTCTGGGCACGGCGTGCCCCGGCTGCTGCGCAAGGCTCTGGTTGTCACCTTCGTCGTGGCTGACCTGGCCGCCGTCGCGCTCATCAATCGTGATTTCCTCTCGACGGCGGAGGCCGTCCGCTTCTGGACGCCGCTCACTATCTGCTACACGCTGCTCGTCGTTTACATGCAAGGTGAGAGGGTGATGAAGGGCTGTAAGGACACGGAACGTTTGGGGAAAACAAGTTCTGGAGATGGAGATGTTACGAAGGTGGAGATGACCTGACCACGAGGTCGTAGCCCCGTGTTTCTATCTGCAAATGGGGCATCATTTGGATCCCTCGGGTTCTGGAGGTGACACGTTCTGGAGGTCACTTTTGTTCCTCCCAAATTTTTAGGATGACGCAACTGAGATGATGTTTCTCCAAATGTTGGCTTTGCACAAAGATCCCCAAAGATTTTAGTGGTGACCCAAAAAGGTCATTGGGCCACCCCCAAAGCTTGGGGGATCAAAACCAGGAGGAAATTTCCCCACACAGTGGCTTTGCAATGGGGTACTGTGAGGATGACCCAACCGGCAGTTTGTTTGGGTCCCTCAGATTCTGGGGATGACTCGGCTGTGATGTCGTTCGGTTCCCCCAAGTTTTGAGGACGGCTCAGCCAGGATGTCTCCAAGTTGGATGAATTCCACACTCTGCCTGGCTGCAGAGCACGCCGTCCACACCTGCACACCCTGACGCTGTGTCCCCACAGAGGAGCAGCGGTCAGGCACGGGCACGCAGGCAGCCTACCAGACGGTGCTGGTGCGCATGGGAGGCCTCTTCGTCCTCCTCTTCACCGTGGGCCGCTGGACAGACCTACTCCACATCTTCCTCTCGCTGCTGGGCGAGCTCTGGTGCCTGCTCCACACCGGCGTCCTGCTGGAAGCTTGCCGGCAGTGGGTGAGTGCCCCCAGTGCAGCCCCGAGGCCACCGTGAGGATCTGGTGCCCGCCTTTCCATTTCTCTCTCCTCTGTTTCCCATAGGGTTTCTCCTTGCAGCATCGACTGTCATCAGGATCGTCCTGAGGTGTAAGCAGGGATGAGGAACTCAGAACAGCTCCCTAAGTCCTCCCTGCTGTGCTGGACAGCCGCTGTGGGGACACGGGAACACAGGGGAAGGGGCTCCTGGAAGGTGCTGATCCCATCCCGTTGGATATGTGGATGCTTGTACAGCCCCTGGCTTTTGAGGCCCCCATCCCCATGGTTGTGATTGGGCTGGGGTCACCTCCCTCGTTCTGCTGCAGGATGTGGAATGCAGACAGATGCACTCATCCTCAGGGGCTGCCAGGCTGCACCACTGAGGTGCTCCGAGGGACCTCTGGAACTTCATAAATCATGGAAAAAAAGAAAAATTGTTTTATTCCCAGTCAATGCCTGGGCAGAGCGAGCTGGGGTCCTGTTGCATTGGGGTCCGGCTCAGGGACAGCCAGGGCAGAGCTTTCTGGGAGGGTGCATGCTGCAAAGGGGAACAGAGGCAAAGAGGGGTGTCCCCAAGCCCCAAACCATTTCTGCTGTGCTGGAGGGCACCCGGTCCTAGGCCGATGTGTGCAGGGTTTGGGGAAGGGGGTACAGCAGGAGAGGGGATGGGGCTGACCAGAGAACCTTGGGGTGTTTGGGACTGCAGGGGGATCCTGAGGGTGTCTGGGGCACTTGGGGTATCGCGGTGGTGTGGGACGTCGTGGGAGCTCAACAGGGTTACGGAATAACCTAGGGGTGCATGGGACACCCTCAAGCACACGGTAGAACCCTGAGGGCGTTTTGTGGCAGTTAGTGGGGGCTATGGGGCCGCCTGCCGGGGGGGGGCGGGCCGTGGGGCAGGAAGGGGGGAGGAGGAGGAGGGAGGGGAGGGAGGAAGGGGCGGTGATGCCGCGGCTCTGCCCCCCCGCTGCCCCCGCTGCGCCGGGCAGGGCGCGCCCGCGGAGCGCACGGAGGGACCCGCAGCGCAGCCCAGGTAGGAGACAGGACAGACACCGGGACTGCGGGCACCCCGGGGGACGCGGGGCTGCGGGGCTCCGGGGCTGCGGGGCCACCCTTGGCTGGCAACGCCCCTTCAGAGCAGAGTCCCCACGCTTTCCCCAGGTAGGGGACAGGAGACACCCCCAGGTGCGGGATTGAGGACATCCCCGCTGAGACTGGGACACCCCAGTGTGGGACACGGGGCTCTGCACAGGGGGGGGATGAAGGCGGCAGAGAACTGTCCTGGGATGGGGCAGGGTACCGAGAACCGCCCCCAGGGAGGGGAACGGGGGTCCCAGGTAGGAGAGGGGACACTGAGGCCACCGCCACAGTCCTCACAGCGTCCTCCGAGAGCTGGGGGGGGGCATGCGGGATCTGTTGGGGGAGAGGGGGTGTAGGAGAGCCTTCTCCCACCCCAATTGAGGGAGAGGTGCCCCATAAGCAGCCTCCACCCCATCGATCCCACCCCCTCTGGCACCCATGATTTTGGGGTGTCTCTCACAGGATACCACAGCCCCATCCCAGCACAGCCACAGCCACCCCAAAACAGGAAGGTGCTGTCCTCCTGTTGTGCGGGCACCCCAAGAAAAGCGCAGTGCAGACCCCAGAGCTGCCACCCTCCAGCTTTAGCCACGCCGGTGGGCGGCAGTGGGGCAGCAATGGGGCCGCTGGCGGCTGGGCTGCCCCAGCACAAAGAGGAATGTGCCGAGCACATGGTTCACATTAGCCCTGCAGATTGATTTTTTTTTTTCCCCTTTATTTTCCGCGGGGAGCAGGTGAAGGTTTGCGTGCAGGGCGAGGGCTGGCAGCGCCGGGACCCGTTTAGGTTCCGCCGGCGGGGAGGGAGGGAGCGCAGCCACTCCGGATTCTCCTTTTTCCTCCCTTTTCTTTGAGTCAGAGGCTGAAGTCAGCAGTGTGCCCGTCCCACAGCGATTTCCCCACTGCACAGGATGTGGGGATGCCCGTGAGCAGGATTTAGGGAAGCAGAGCTGCCCCGCGCTGAATGTGGAGTGCTGCATGAGACCAGGCAACTCATCACACAGGTATTATTCTGCAGCACGGCAGGGATGGATGCAGTGCTGGATGGAGCCTGGGGGTCCCCGGGAGCTGTTTTGGAGGGGGAAGCAGGGAGGAAGCAGGTCCTGGCTGCTTTTCCCATTGCTGAGCACAGCCCTTTTCCTTCCCGACTGGGGTCAGCCAGGGTCGGGCGCATCCTGCCTGTGCGGTGGCCGCTGTGCTTTACAATCCCATTTTCCACAGGCAAGGTGGGTTCCTCCCGCAGTTTGATCCCAGCTGGGGTCAGTAAGAGAGGAATAAAAGAGGGTTACAACGCTTGCAAAAGGCTGGGGTTGGTAAGGAATGCCTGGGACAAAGTGGGGGATTTGGGAGGCTGCACACGCTGCCCGCAGCCAGGTGCTCTCCAGGTGCCCTCACCGCACCAGGCACGAGGCTGTTTATTGCTGTGACCTGGGGCGGGGATGCCCGTTCCTTATTGCCTATCCAGGAAGGGGAAGAGGAAGCGGGTTGAGGCTGAAGGACAGCGGCAGCCACAGGCACACCGCACTGCTGGGGCGCTGGCACATTCCTTTCTGTTTTCTTCTTTTTTTTTTTTTCCTTATTTTTTCTTCCCCGAAACCCCAGCCCACGTCCAGCCCCTCTGCCGTTTCTGCGATGCTGCCCAGGAAGGCAGAGAAAAGGATGACTTCATCTGTCTTCATCACCCTGGCGTCCCCACGGAGGGAGGCAGCCCCCAGCGAGCAGCCCCACACAGGGCTGTCACCGGCTGTCCCTGAGGGCAGCCCTCGCCCCCCGACGACCCCAGCGCTGCCCAATGGAGGTGAGGAGTGGCTGTGAGGCACCGCGTGTGAGGACAGTTGTGGTGGCGTGGAGGCACTTTGCAAAAGGATGTGGGTGCTGGTGGAGGGGGGGTGTTTTCTGAGGGTCGTTCCCTAAACCCCACACCCAGTGCAGGATGGATCCAGCTGCCAGGATAGGGTGGTGGTTGCTCTCCATCAGCCAGCACTTATCAGCATTTGCTTTTGGGGCTGGTCGGTGGGGAGTGTTGCCGCAAGCTGTTGGGGCACTATTGCAGGGGAGGGCTCGGGATGGGGCTGACAGCACTCTCCCAACACTCTGCCTGGCTTTTGCTGCAGAATCCTGCCCTCACTCCCCAGCAGTGCCTTCATCCCCACTGGCTCTCATCCTCTCCGAAGAGCCCCAGCCCCTCTCCACGGAGGCACTGGCTCCAGCTCTGCAGCAGCTGGACCTTGCGGCACCCACCACGGCGCAGGTCAGGACCATGAGCGTGCCTCAGTTTCCCCATCCTCAAGGGCTTGAATATAATGCGTGTTTTCCTCCTGCTTGCCAGGCTCCTTTTGCCTTCCCTGCTGAACTGAGGCCTCTCCAAGTTTGCCAGGGACAAGCAGACAAGCTGCAGTGGCAGGATGCAAATGGGCACGGGGAGAGGAACGGCTCCCGAGGTAAGCACACGGACCTGGCTGTGCTGGTTAGGGATCCTCAGTGGGCCACCAAGGCAGCTCCTGCCCTGCTTCCCTCCCACAGACATCTGCGCCTTCTGCCACAAAGCCGTGGGCCCACAGGAGCCGACGGTGGAGGCGATGCGGAAGCAGTACCACGCTGACTGCTTCACCTGCCGGACCTGCCAGCGACGCCTGGCCGGCCAGCGCTACTATCAGAGGGATGGCCGCCCCATCTGTGATGCCTGCTACCAGGTATGGGGATGCTGGGGACGGTGGCATTTCAGGGAGCGATGGCACCTTGGGAATGATGGCATTCGGGGGGCAGTGGCATCTTGGGGAGCACTGGCTTTCAGGGAGCAGTGGTGTCTCTCATGTCACGTCCCTGCCTGCAGGCCACGCTGGAGAAATGTGCCAAGTGCCAGGGGCTGATCACTGAGCGCATCGTGCGTGCCCTGGGCAAAGGCTTCCACCCCGGCTGCTTTGCCTGTGCTGCCTGCGGCCGGGCCATCGGTGCTGAGAGCTTTGCGGTGGACGAGCAGGGCAAGGTGTACTGCGTGGCTGACTTCTACAGGTGGGGTACCAGCAGGGAGGTTCAGCTGATCCCCGTCACCCTGTGGGTCTCACGTCAGCCCCATTTTATCCCACCAAGGAAATTCGCCCCGGTGTGCGGTGCCTGCAAGCGCCCCATCATCCCTGATGAGGACACCTACAAGATCGAGTGCCTGGGACGGAGCTTCCACGAGAGCTGCTACCGCTGCGAGGTACGGCCCCGAAACTCTAAGTGATGTCCCAGTGCCTTAGGAAGTAAATGGGGTTGGAGGCAGGCACAGAGTGTGGGTTGGTGGCGAGGTGCAGCAGCGCGGTGTTGTACAGGCAGCGCGGCGCAGGGCTGCAGGAAAGCCCTACAGGTGGCTGCGCTGTTTGCAGAGCTGTGGGACACCGCTGTCGCCGGAGCCGACGGAGGACGGGTGTTACCCGCTGGGCCACCACCTGCTCTGCAGAGCCTGCCACATCTGCCGGCGGAACGAGTCGTCCTGCTGAACTGCAGGCTGTGAGAAGGGCCGGGCCACTGGGATGGACCCACTGAGAGCAGCAGTGTGATCACCACAGTGTGCCAGGACCCCAGCCATGCAGCTCGGCCTCTGCCAGCTGCTCATCACAAGCAGAAAAAGCCCTGGAAGAGCAGTGGTGGTGGATGAGCTGAGGGTTTGTTCACTTTTTTTTTTTTTTTAAAATCCTCTTTTGAAGTTGGTTTGATTTCTTCAGTGTTTTTCTTTCCTCTCAAGCTTTCTTGGGGCTTTGTTTAAACACTTCTCTCTGTGGTGATGCAGAGAGCAGCACTGATTTAGCTCCTTGTCATTACATAAAACCCCGAGCTAAAAATGCCGTCTCTTTCATCCGCCCGTTTCCTGTGTCCCAAACTTACAGAAGGCAAGTTTAAAAAGAAAGAAGAGGCCACATTGGGACCTTGTGGGTCACCTCGGCTGGCAGGAGGCTGGGCACAGCTTGCTTGGGCTGCTGGCTGATAGCACGGCTGGGGTGGGCTGGGATGCGGCGATCCGGCGGACGGGAGAGCAGGAGGTCTGTGCCGGGCCGGACCGGGGGTTCTGCAACGTGCCCGGCGTTGGTAAAGGATGCGTGGTGTTTCTCTGCTCCGTCTCACAAAAGTCCCAGGCCGGCAGAGGGCAGCAGGAGCACAAATTCCTCCAATGGGTGAAAAAAGTGCCTGATTCCTGTCTTCTGCATGCAGCAACGCTGGTACCGAGGCTGAGGTTTAGCATCTTACCCAAGATAATACCACTCCACCAGCAGAAGCTTTCAGACTTTCTTTTGGTCCACGGTATGAAGTGCAGAAATGAAAACTTCTCTTTGTGCATCTGTGTGAGCAGTGCCACCTGCACATTGGGTTCGTTTGTGAATATACTGTGAACCAGACAGACAAAGGGTTTCCCTTCTAGCCAGAAGTGTTTATAAAGCCACAAATCAAGTGCAGGAAATAACAAGAGCATCTGAGTCAATATTTAATGCTTCCCTGATGGGAAAAAAGAAAAAAAAAGGAAGATGTTTTAAAAAAAAGCACCAAAAAGCAGCAGCAGACAAACGTTTCTGGGTCACGCTGCCTAAAGTCTCCCCAGCACACACTGTATTTATGAATGAAAGGGTTAATGTATGGGTAACATACATGTCACGTCCCTGCCTGCATATCCATGGGTAAACATATGGATTCTTCACACCAACCCCACAAATGTTTCCTGCCGTCTCTCCCCATCTACAAAGCCCATTATTCATGTTGGTGATGTGTGTCTGCAGCCATCCGTCAGGGCACAGATGGCTGTAAGCTATTTGTAAATAAGATGCTCATGTGAAGCTGTGGTGTGTCCTGGAGTTGGGACGGTCACGTATCGAGGCGGCTCTGGTCCGTGTGCCATGCCAGGAAGTCCTGGGTTGGAAGTCATTCCCAAAGCCTTGCACTCTGTGGGGAAATGCAGGCATGGAAAAGTGAAAAAAAATGCCATGCCAAAAAAGTGTCCTAAAGAGTGCAGGGGTGGGGAAGGGAAGCGCCAGACAGCAGAGCATTTCCCTCTTTTTGTAATACGGGTATTTTCCAAATGAGATTTTCAGGGAGGATGGAAATAGTGATGCTGAGCGTTGGTATAGATGTGCTGTTGCACTGCTGAACCCTCTGAGCAGCGGCTCTGGGTAGTGAAAGCAGGAAGGGGCTGGGCATTTCCCTGCAGGGTGCTCTGCTGGCACTGGGCTGCAGTGGATTTTGGCCAGAGGTGGGCAGGGAATGGCTTTTACGGACACAAAGCCTTGGAGGTGATTCTGGCAGGGAGAGGAGCAGGACAAAGTGCAGCTGGAGACTTCAAAGGGTTGCAGAAGTGGTTGGATTTGGCAATTTTTTCCAGGAGCGAAGGATGACGGGGGTGTACAGATAGGGAAGTAAACTGATAAAGGCTGATCTGAGCTGCTTTCTGGTGGGTAAGGGGAGAAGCATTGTGAGCTGGGGTCTGGGCGTGTTGCTGAGCCTGGAAAGCACAACCCTGTGTTTTCCTCTGGATGGACATCAAGGAATTGTGCTGTACGTCTGGCCCCATCAAGTCCTGGGGGTCCCGTTCTGCTGCTGAGCATGTAGGCACCAATTGCAACAGCTCAGCCCATCCTTGGGCTCCTCACTCCATCGCAAGCGATTTTGCAAGGGAAAAAAGTTTGAAGTCCACCTCCTTACTCAACACCAACATGCCCAGGTCTGCCAGCAAAAACACAAAGCACACCCACAGCAATGCAGAGCTCATTCTTTACCCCCAGAAGCCCCATAGAGCCCCCTCGGATCACCTGGAGGTGCAAAACCTGCTGAGGTCTTGCGTCGTCTTGCAGTGGAGGTGCAAAAGGGCAAGGAGCCGTGCCTGCGCAACGCCCTGAGCTGCTGCAATCAGCCCGTCCTTTCTTGCAATCCCTCTTGGCAGGCCAAGGCAAATGGGGAGGGCCCTCTCACATAGGCTGGCCGCTCTCCAAGGAGAAGCAAATGCAAATATTTCTTCACTTCGGGCTGGGTGCGGCCTGTGGATAAAATTTCCCTGGTCTTTCCCAGAGAAGGCATCCAACACCATGCCCTGCTCCCAGGAACATGAGAACGTAGGACAAAAAACCACAAAGGTTATCTTTCTTGCAACGTTAGGGTTGTTAAAAGGAGCTGACAGGCACGGCCGTAATATTTTTAAATCGGCGATCAAGGTTTTCCTTTGTAACAAAAACGGCCTTTTGCAGGTTTCACTTGCAAGCGGAAGATTTTGGTGCAGCATAAGCAAGGTTGTAAAGGGAAACGGGTTGGAAACGGCCCCATCAGCCGTGAGAAATGTGAAAAGCAGGCGGTGGACTGAGGGAGAGCTGAGCCGGATTCCTGGCGTGCCTTCCCTCTGCCATCACTGCCTCGGAGGTGAAAGCTGCTGGGGAGCGGCGAGCAGGAGCCAGCACTGCAGCGAGATGGGATGAGAGAGGCTGGAGCAGTCGAGAAGGGAGAAAGGAGCAATGGCAGCAGTGCTTTGTTTTTCTTTTAAAATGAATTTCAGAGCTGGAGGAATTTTTTTATTATTATTATTTCCCCCTTTGGTTGACCTGAGTTAATTGTGAGCTTGTCCCAGCTAGCTTGCTGCAGTGTCATCCTTTCTGGCGGAGCATTCAGACCCATTTTTTGCACTTCACAACCTAAAAGCCAGCAGCCTCTCATGAAATGCGCTCTGGTTAAGGGGGGAGGGTTGGAAAGCAACTGGAATTGTTCTGGGTTAAAAATAAGCGGAGCAGCGCGAGCCCTGAAATTCTCCAGCTTCGTGATTTGGAGCACAGCCAGGATGAAAACAAAAACAGAAAAAAAAGAAAAAAAAAAAAAAAAGACAAAAGAAACAAAACCACAATGAAAATAACACTGTGCTATTGTCCTTTTATCCTGAGATCTGCCTACAGAGGAGCCCGCAGCAGGACCTGCCTGCATCTCCCCCTCCATACGCAGCGCTGGGGGGTTATTTTTAACGCAGTGTTTTCCATACACCAGGAAAAAAAAAAAAATATATATATATATATATATATCGATACATCCCGTTATGCAAGCCTTGTTACCAGGCTGCAAATTATACGCTGGGTTATGAAATGAATAAATAAGGCAAAAATAAAAATCACCCAACCCACCCTATTTCTGCAAATAGGCACAAGGGAGCTCTGACAGCATCCACCCCATCAGCGGTGTGGATTACAGCGTCCTGCAGCCCTGGTTTTCCAGGTGGAATGAAGGATTTTTGCCCAGCTCTGCCTTGGAGCAGTTTATTTTCTTCTTTATTTCATTGGGGTGTCGATCGGAGCCCTTTGCTCTGTGCTTTGTTTAAAAATATTCACACAGAAAAAAGCAGGAGGTGTCCGTCTGTCAGGGAGGCTCACGGCCATCAGCAGAGGGCGAGGGGAATATCTTCTGAAATTAAATATATCTCTTAATTGTGTGTAAGGTCAAACTTTCCCTCACAGACATCATCTGCTCAACTCGAGTGGCTGCACGCAGTGATGCCGAGGAGACCTTCTCCCCTTTTCTCGACCCTGTTTTAAGAACATCACGTAACCTCCTCATTCTGTGGAGGGGAGAAGGAAAAAAATTTTAAAAGGGGGGGGGGGGGGGGGAGAGGTGGTAAAAAATGAGCAAACGGAGGATGTTTTCCTCACAGAAAGGGGAGGGGGAGGCAGGCGGCCGCGCGGCACAGCGCCGCCCGCGGTACTGCAGGGCCCCGCCCGCTGCTCGCTTCACAAAATGGCGCCCGGCGGGGCCGCGCCGAGCGGGGCTGAGGCGACAAAATGGCGGCGGGCGGACAGCGAGGGAAGGGCCTCAGGGCCCCTCGTTCCCCTCCCGTCCCCGTCCCGTTTTGAGGTGTTTTTCCCCTCATAGCGTGAAGATTTTTGGGTCAGTGCTGCTCTTTCCGCCCCCTCCACACGCGCCTCCCAGGTGGGTATTTCCATAGCTTGATGCCTAATTCTTTCTCCCCCTCCGCTTTTCTCCTCCGCAGGGGTTGCAGCCTTCGCTGTCCTCAGCGCGTGGAAAATGCGCAAAAAAAACCCAAAACAACACCAAAAAAGCCCTGAACAGCCGAGGACTGAAGGAAGGAACTGTCTCCTCACGGCCACCGTTCTGGTAATTAAAAACATCCATGTGGTGCGATCAGATGTGGTAATACTGCTAAAAAGAAAAGAAAAAAACCCAACAAAACACAAATCCTGTCACATCCCAGTGCTCGGTAGAGGCTGCAGCCTCGATATCACGCATATTTCTTTGCTTATTGTTTGCGATGCTTCTTTACATTTATCCTCACCACAGCGTAGCATCGCCCCTCCTTTGTTAAAAGCCTCATACCTAAAATACCTTTTTTTTTTTTCCTGTTTAAATACAGATTTAGGGCCGTACAGGTGCTCTTTATTCCCACATGTCTCTGTATGTCTCCTTATCCCAGAGATGGATTGCAGAACAAAGCCATTCACCTATAATGCTAATGACACACAATTACTCTCACTTTGGCCCGTACATATCTTGGATTTTATATATTTATTACCTTTGTTTTCCTCCATTGGCTTTCTACTGTCCTAAGAGCAAGAGGGAAAAAAAATTACACGTGCACAGCCAAAAGAAAAAAAAAAAAGACAAAAAATAATAGTAAAAAAAAAAGGTAAAAACAAGCAAAAAGCAACCAGTTGCCCATTTGATCAGTCCGTGGTGGAGATTGGTGCCTGGATGCTTTATTTGTTCCACAGAGGTGTAGATTTCCCTTGGGATGTTGGGGAAGGATTTCTTAATTAAAGGATAAAAAAAAAAATGAAAAGTAAAAAATAAAACAGCGAAACAGAACCGAAAAGGAAAATAATATGAATTATTATTGATTTAAAAAAAAAAAAAAAAAAAAAAAAAAAGCAGCTGACGCTGGCAATGCAATCGGGCAGGCACTGAATTCATTGCACCGAAATGAGGACGGATGAGCTGAACTGAGTGGCAGGGCTGAGTGCAGCTCCGGGAGGAGGGCTCAGCTCCTCGTCCCACCATCCAGCGCTGCACACACCACCATTTGTGTGCTTTTGTGCTTTATTTCCAGCCCCGCGGGCTGCCCTACGTGATGCACGGAGCGACGCGGCTGCCCTGGTGCTGTGCGTTCCTCTCCCTTTTATTGCCTGCTCTATGCTCGCTTTTTTTCTCCCCCCTCTGCGGGCAGCAGGGTTGCTCGGCTTTCCTCTCCCCAGCTCGGCAGCTGATTCCAGAAGTTTCTACAGCAGAGGAAATGCACGGGGGAGGGGAGCACCCACTGCGGAGCTTTGCCGCAGCCGGGCAGGCGTGGAGGAGGAGGAGGATGCGGAGGATGCACCACCTCCCTCACTCCCTCCCTCCTTGGTTCAGGACGCTTTCCAAGCCTCTCCCCCTCGCTACGTTTCCCCATCCTTGCAGAGGGTGCTGGGAGGTGTTTGCAAGTTGCTTTTTTTTTTTTTTTTTTCCCTTTTCCCCCCGCTCGCCCTCCCCCCCCCCCACTCCGTTTCCTCCCCCTTTGCTAAATAAATTAAAAGCAGAGATGTCTCCTGATGGAGATGGATGAGGCTGGGCTCACTTGCATGCACTGTGCCACAGCCCTGATCTGCTGCTTAGGGCAGAAGTGACCTTTCCCAGGCAGTGGGAGGGAGCTTCTCCCCACCCCGCTATGCTGCTGCTTGGAATTCATCTTACATAGCAGCCTTATTATCTTTTTATCCCCCCTCCAAAGAACAGCTTGCTGCTTCGGTGATTTTTTTTTTTTTTATTATTATTTTTTTATTATTATTCTCAGCCTGTGTGTTGCAGCTTCCTCATGATCGTTTTGTGTGTGTGTGTGTATGCTTTGAATTGCATTTTAAAATTGCCCAGCTGGAGACAAGTCTTGATTAGAGCTGGAACAATAGCTCCATTTTATTAATAATGGGAAGGATTTACGATCCTACAGCACCTTCCTTGGAAGGCTTTCAAAACCATTTGCAAACTCTCACAAATGTAAGCTTTCACAGCCCTGCCTGTGAGGTGGGTAAGTATTTCCACGGTGCCACCAAAAATCAGGGAGAGCTGGAGTCGGTGTGTGCTAAAATAATGGCAGATCCGGTGGGCTTTAGGGCTGCAAAGCTGGGAGGAGGGAGGCTGGTTAAAAGCTGTAACCTAAATCTGTTTGGTGTTGTCTGTAGATGCAGATATTTGTCTTTGTCCTGGGAACCAGGCTGCTATTTCTCAGCCTGCTCTGTGCTCCTCCTTGCTTTTTGCAGAGCGAAGATTCGGACTTGCCTGCTTGTCAGTAAACATCTGCATATAGATTTATTTATTTATTTTTTAATTCATTACTTTTTTTGTAGTCCCCAGGTGACCTCCTTTAGTGCTGGCTCTGCTGCGGTCTGACCACAGCTTTGCATTAAAGCAGGCTGCGAGCACTAATGTGTCTCCGTGCAAGTCCACGTGACCTTGCTCAGGGGACAGGGCCCACTGAGCTAATGCAGATGCTCCACTTCAGTTACACAACCCTGCATCCCCTCCCTGACCCAAGAAGCATAGGGGAATGTTGCAATGTTATGGGTGAAAGCTGTCTTCTGCCCTAATTTTTATTTTATTTTTTTCCTCCCAGGGAAAAGCAGGATTGTTTGTGTAACTCCCACTCTGCAGCAGATAGCTTCTCTGTGAGTATTGTAAACATGCAGCAAGCTGGGCAGTGGGATCTGGCCTTGCTGAGGAGGGTAAGGTACAGTTCTCTGGTTGTGTGAGTGCTTTACACCTCCACAGAAAGCCACAATGTTTCTGTGGTTACTTCTGGAGGGCATGAGCGGGTCCCAGGGCTTCCCCTTCCCACCCTGTACTGTTTCACAAAAGAGAAAGCTGCTGCTTCTGGAAGAAGCTCTGCCTTGTGGCCTTATTTAAAAAAAAAAAAAAAAAAAGGCTGTGGATTAGTCATCATTATCGTTAAAGGAGGCTGCGTGTGCTGGTGCGTGTGTGATGTTAAGCATTAGTTTATTTGGGAAGGCTGGTAATGTGCTCGGGTCGCTGCTCCTGGAGCAGTGCCACCAGGCTCCATCAAGCTGCTGCTGGCAGGTGGAAAAGCTGACAGGCTGCTGTCGGTCCCCTTCCATCCCTTTTCTCTTTTCAGTATCACTGCACTGCCAGGTGTGGGAAGGAGGAGACCGAAACGAGAGCGAGGACAGGCGAGGTTCCAATGCCAGAGAAGAAACCCTGTGCTTTTCTATCCTTGCTTTTATTCTAAGCACAACTGACTGCATCTTGTAAGAAGACTTAGTTTCACCCTTTTGGATGATAAAAACAGTACTGGTTTTAATCGTTTATTTTTATCCCTTCCCTGTGGTCATGTAGAGGAGTGAGCTGTGCAATTAAAATGGGATAGCAAAGGACAGCTCCCTCCCCCTTTCCCATTTCAAAAAACCTTCTGGAGTTGTGTGTTCTTGAATTGCTGCATAGGCAGAAAGCATACAATGCAGTTGTCAGCATTGTGCTGATGTGTGGCACATTAAAAAAAAAAAAAATACACACAAAAGGGGTGGGGAGAGCGGGTGCCTCCAGGGAGTAAAACTGTGGGGCCCCTTTCCCTACCAGCAAACAGACCTACATGCAATAGTTTATTACTTCTCATTTTGCTCAGGCAAATGTAATGCACAGACGTCAGAGGGAGCGTTGCAACATGCTAAATGGTGTTGCTGAAGATCAGGGTCCCCTTGAACTATTTTTCCTGTGAGCTTGCTCCCATGAGATGCCACAGCTTTATTACTCAATTCCTCAAAGTTGTGCTTACTTGCCAGAAGGAAGGAGAATGCTTCCTTTCTGGGTGTAATTTCTTTTGTTGTGAGGCAGAAGGTAATCAAAAGCAGCTGGTTCTGATCTCTCCTAGGTCGCCATGACTTCAAAATGTCCAAGCAGTGAGCAAGGAGAGCAGGTATTGGCACCTCCTCATCAGCCCTCATCAATGAGAATATTGGCTTTGGTGTTGTGTGAGTGCTGCTGGCTGACCAGTGGAGGGGCCCTGCCCTGCTAAGCTGGAGCAACGCTTTCTGAGCAGTGATTTCATTGCCTGATTGCTGCAGTGATTTGGAGCACAGCTGTGACTTTATGTTTTTCTGGCAAAAATTTAGCTAAGGGTAAATATGAGATGTCCAGGCCAGATTTCAGAGTGAGATGGAGAGCTGGGAGAAGCTGGTGCATGGTGTATGTGAAAACTGCCAATTGTTTGTGTGCCTAAAAAGGCTCATCTGTGTTTGAATTAAATGAGCCTGGATAGGACATTCATTTTTTTCTCTTGTTAGGGAAGTGTTTGCAGATATGCCTGGTGCTGGTTGGGGGCCTCTGCTGGCCTGCAGGTACAGGGGACCAACAAACTGTTTGGGATGCTTTCACATTTTTCAGGCCACAACACCCTGTAGGAATTGTACTACTTTTCTGTCAGTTTGGAGTAACTGGGTTTCCTTGGGAGTGTTGGACTTCTATCACCGCATGCTTTGGATTGAAGAGTTACCAGAATGACATCTGTGAGGCTTCCAAGCTAAACAAAACTTGAATTTCTAATGCTAAAAGCAAGTGAGTGATAGAAACCTCTGCTCCTCTTCCTATGGGTGAAGCTGCAGCCCTTTAAGCTTTCCTATTACACCAAAGAGGTAGAAAAAGCATAAGCATGCACTGTGAGTTCTGCAGTGCTACTGGTGATGTAAAATGAAAGCCAGAGCTAGCCAAGAAACCATTCTCCTTTCAAATACAGTCGCCATGCACAAGTACTTTTCTTCTTTGCCTTTCCCTGAAGTGAGAGAGCAGTAATGGCACAAGCGTGCACTCAGTCTGCTTCATTTAGAACACAGTGATTCAACTTCAATGCCAACATGGTGAATCAAAAGCACTGAAGATAGCTGGCTTGCTATTTATTTGGCTCTGGGTGTGACCATCAGATGCGATTGGGAATGTGAAGAAGAGCAACTCACACGGTTGCGCTGTTTTAAACCTTTGTCCTGCAACATCTCCAGTGTGATTTCTGTCCTTCCTGCTGGGCATTGCATGCGGGGCTTTTCGTGGAGAGGTAAAGCACTGCAACTGTATGTTAAACATGGCAACGCACAGGATACAGTGATCTCTCCAGTCCTAGGAGGCTTGTATCCTTTGCAGTAGTCAAACCAGGTGGGGCTGGGAGACTTGAATTTTTTTTCCTCCTTTCATCTTCTTCCCCTGCAATGTTCTGTTTTGCAGCCTGGAAGACAGAAGCCTTCTGCCTAGAGGATGAAATGCTTCATGTTTGGAAAAAACTAGCAGGTACAGCACTTCAGGATGTGGTTGCAGAGATGCTTGGGGGCAAAAGGAACCAGGGCAGAAGCTGACACTGTAATGTTTCTATTATTTTCCTAACAGAGGGTGAAAACCAGGTCTTAATTCCAAAAATTCTACTATGCAGTAAGCAAGAGTGAGTTCTTTTGCAGTCTCTGACTGCACGTAGTGCTTTGCTTGGATGGCTTAGCAATTGTTCTGTGCTCTGCTGTTGAAGAAACATCTATTTTTGGGTAGCAATGTATTTTGAAAAGGGAAGTGTGCTTTTATATATATATACACACAGATGGGTTCAGCGTAAATCAAATTCCAGGGGCTCCTGAGCTGTGCTTGCTGTGCTGCAGAAGGTAGCTGATGCTCAGCCATTGGCCACGGTGGCATTATTTTGCAGCAGCTCTCATCCCCTGCGTTGTGTGGATGAGAACACCGTGGAGTCTGGCTGGGAGAAGTGCTTGAAAAGAAGGCAGAGAATGCTGGTACAGCTGATGCAGGGATGTTCTGCATCTCAAAGGGATGTTCTGGACAGAGTTAACACATGAAGACTTGGAGCGCTACCCTGTAAGAGGCAAGGACTGAAATCAATAGCTTTATTAATTCAAATCCTATACTTTGTGTTGTTGCTTAGGATTCAGAATCAGGCTTCACGTTCAAAGCGTTATCAGCACATTAGCCAGTATCCTCTGTCTTGGCAACACATGAGCCCAAATATCAAAAAGCACCAATTCCTTTTTGGAGAAAATTATCCATTGCATAAAACGTAATGGGTAAGCAATAAAATTAGCACAGCAATTCAGGCTGGCTTAAAAAATGAGATAAAAGCTTGGCTGGCAATTTGATATTCAGCTGCCATACTGTTGTGTTAATAAATATAGTCAATGAGCAGAAAAGACACGTCAATAAATTGCCTCATGGCAAGATGTTGGTGGACCTGACCAGCTTGAACAAAGCAGAGCCCTGAGTGTCTGAGGGCTCTTGTCTGAGCAGCACACCATTTCTCTGCACAAAGCAAAGCAAGCTGGATGCTTACTGGACACTGAGGGTAATCGCTGCGTGCTGTGAATGCGAGTGCTGTAATCCCTGCAGGTCTGGTCAGGGTGGTGTCCCCAGCAGTGGGGAGCAGAGTAATGCCTCCCGCCCCACTCTGCAGCTGCACTGCTACGAGCTCACAAAGCAGAGCCCTCACTGAGCCAGGGCTGATTGTAGGGAGTTACGGTTTTAGCAAACAGTCCTTGTTGCTGTCCTTGTTCCGTATCTAATTTTTTAGCAAGCTCCACCACTGGGTTAAGAATGTTATGAACATTGTGTTGCGTGTTAAAAATGTATGAGCAGTGCTGTCGGCTTGCTCTGTAAAGTGCCTTTCTATTTATCCACGTTTGCTCCTAGATGGTAGGCTGCCTCTGGCTGTTGCCTTTGCTTTTGGTATGAACCCCAAGGATGTTTTCTGATCCTCCTGCCCTTTTTTCCTCCAAACTGGAGAGCTGCTAACTTTATTAGCTCCTTATATGGCAGCACTGTTTTTCTCACGCCTTTAATGGCTCTCTTTTGATCTGTCCTGCTCCTGCTTTGCTTTTCTTGATGTGAACACAGTGTGCAAGCTGAGATGGGTTTATAACCTGCTCCCTCATTAATATCTGGTCTGGCATGTTAATCCTCTCCAAGTGGTGATAAGAAACATGCAGATGTTTTAACAGTGTTTGGCCGCAATGCCTGCAGATAGCTGGGTTCTCACTGTACTCACTGTGTGGATGAGCAATTAAACAGTGCCCTGCAGAGCCCCGGGCTCTGCCCTAGTGTGTGCTGGTGGCTGAGAGACGCTGGGTGATGGAGAGCAGCTGGATAGAGTCTCCTGTTCTGGGCTGTTTGAGTAGGAGGGGTGCAGGATCAAGTGCTGACCTTTGATGCTTGCTCCCAAGCTTGTTGCCAGCAGGCTGCACACAGGTCCTGGTGCAGTGACCAGGATGACACCAGTTGCTGCCACCTCCTTTACTGAGGTCCCTTCGGCCTTCTGAGATGCAGGTCACACTCTCTCCAATCTGTGTTCTTTACAATCTCCAGATGAGTGAGAGGGATCTGGTTACAGCAGCACTGCCCAAGTGCGCCTGTGTGTTGCAACTGGGAACAGCTTCCCCCCAAAGCACAGTAAGAGCATTGGAATGATCCAGAGCTTCGTTCTGCATCACGGACCAGGCTACGCGCTCCTCTTCCAGCTGGCTTTCATGTAAACAGAGCATTTTAAGTACTAATTTCAACCGTTTCTTCTGTCTGCAGGCTTTGTTTCTGACAGCTCCTTGACTGTGGATGTCCTTCCAGCCAGGCTGCCTGCAGTGTGACAGCAGTGACCCTGCATGAGGTTTCTTTGAAGGACCTGGGAGACCGTGTGGCTTTTTTTAGTCCCTCAGAGGTGTTTTCCTGGCAGGGAGGGAGGAAAATGTTTGGAAATGCTGTCACAGGAGGCATGCTTACCTGGCTAGGGGAAAACTTGCTGTAGAAAAGCCAGCTGGCGCATGGTTTGAAGAGGGATAGGTTCCTTTCTCTCCAAAATGGAATCCCTTAAGGAAGGTATAGACAAGTAGTTCCTACTCTTGAGGTTTCTGACTGGTTAAAACAAGGAGCTGAGCCCATTTCCATGCAGAAATGTGTGGTACAGTGCATTGCAATGCTTTTCCTTGCGTGTGCAGGGTCACACGCTTTACTAATGGTTTGCATGCAAGAAGTTACTGCTTTTTTATTTTTAATCAGTCCATCTCCATTCAGCAGAGCAGCTTCACACCCACCATCACAGGGGAAACTGAGGCACGGGGCCACTGTGGGATTACAGGCAGAGCTGGGGATAAGGCTCAGGTTTGCGGAGGCTCAGGCTCATGTGCGTCAGAGGGCTGCTTAAATGGAGAGATTTGCAAAGGGAAGTGACCTACAGCTCGATGGCTGGGACTGCTGCTGGACCTGATCCTTACGGGTGCCTTCCAACTCAAACCACAGTTTGGTCAGGGGAAGAATTTGGCAGCACGGTGCCCACGGTGAGATTTGGTGAGCTCCTCCAGTGCCAGAGCCTGGCCCACAGCCAGCCCACGGGGTTCATGCGGCACTGAACTTTGGAGCCATTAGAGATAAACAGCGCTATAGGCTAATAAAAGGCTCTGCATCACAGGGCCCTTGTCTGCTCACGCCACAATTAATTTTTTACTTGCTGATTGCAGTGAGGGAAGAGTGCTGGGTTTGCTTTGTGCTGGGCTTGGATGGTGAGGAGTGGGCAGATCCTCGATGCCTTTTGCCCTGCACCCGTTTTTGCACGGCAGCCCTTTACCTTTCACAGCGCGTCCCATTTTTTCCCCACTCATTTTGTACTGCAGCCCCACTGTTTTGCAAAAGCCCCCCTTTATTTCTTTGCACTGTACGTCTTTATTTGCAATCCCTTCATTGCATTGCATTCACTCATCACCTCGCCCTGCAGCCCCGGTCTTTGCCACGCATCCCTTATTTTCCACAACCCACCTCGTGCATTTACTACTTTCCATCGCAGCTCCCGTTTATTGGCTCGTACCTCATCTCTTTTTTTTTTTTGCCGTACTTCCTTTATCTACGATTCTCATCCCAGCCTTTTTTTTTTTTTTGTATTTTTTGCAATAAAACCCCTCCGTCACGTCGCATCGCGCCGCGCTCCTCCCGCTTCCCCTGCGCTACCCGCGCATGCGCACTCCCCCACCCTCCCGAGGGGCGTTGCGTGCTCGCGCCCCTCCCTCCTCCTCGGGGCCGCGCGCCTGAGCGCGCACTGCGCCTGCGCGGGGGCCCCCGTGTGGCGCCGCGAGAGGAGGGGGGGGGGGCGAGCGGGCTCGAGGCGGCGGAGCAGCGAAGGGCGAGGAGGAGGAGGAGGAGGAGGAGGAGAGGGGGGGGCGCCGCGCTGCCGCTGACGGAGGAGGAGGAGGCAGCGAGCGAGCCACGGCCGAGGCGGGGGGAGGCACCGAGGAAGAAAAGCGGCCGAGGGGCAGCCCGCCGCCCCGCAGCCGGCCCGCGAGCCTCGGGGCCCCCCCGCGGGGGATGGTGTGGTCCGCCGGGGCCGCCGCCGCGGGGGGAGGCAGCCGGCGGCGCTGAGGGCGGCGGGGCCCCGCGGCGGAAGAGGCGGCGGAGGAGGAGGAGGCGGCGGCGGCGGCGGCGCAGCGCGGGGGGAGGCGGCGGCGGCGGCGGCGGTGGAGGCCGAGAGCCGGAGCAGGGGGCTCGCCCCGCGGCGCGCAGCATGGTGCGGGAAACCAGGCACCTGTGGGTGGGCAACCTGCCGGAGAACGTGCGGGAGGAGAAGATCATCGAGCACTTCAAGCGGTGAGTGGGGCGGCGACGGAGGGCGGGAGGGGTCCGGGAACCGCGGGGGGAACCGAGGGAGCCGCTCGGGAAGCGCGGAAACGTCCGCGGAACCGTTCGGCGATCCGCTGGGATCCCCGCCGGAACGCGCCGCGCTCAGCGCCGCCCGGAGCCGCGTTCCGCATCGCGGCGTGCGCGGCCCGCGGAGCGCCCGCACCGGGACGGCGGCACCGCCGTGCGCGGCTTCGGCCGCTGGGGGCTGAGCGCGGGGCGCTGACCGCCTTCGGAGCTCCGCCGCTCCGTCCTTCGTCGTGAGTCACCATGGGAAAAATAGATACGAGCCGCACCGCGCTGACAGATGGCGGCCCGGGCCGCCCCGCGATGGGATGGGATGCGATGCCCGCGGGGCCGCTGCCCGAGCGCGGCTGCCTCCAGCCGGGCCCTAAAATGGCGGCGGGGCCCGGGACGGGCCGTGCGTGCGGCCGGGGCTCCCCGGGACGGGCCGTGCTGGCGGCCGGAGCTCCGAGCCCGCGGCGTGCAGAGGAACGCGGCGCGGAACGCTTCGGGCTTTGCGTGATTCCGAGCGCGGCGAGCTGAATGCGAGCGGGAATTCGACGTTCCTGAATCTTATTTTTGTCCAGCCCTTCGCTTTTGTAAGGTTAAAGCAGGAAAAAGTTGCTATGGCACTGTTGCTTGGAGATGGATGTGAAAAAATGGCAGGCTCGGAATTGTGAATTCCCGGGCGCCCCCCCCCCCCCCCCGTGGGGGGGGGGGTTTTTTCGCTTGTTTTTACCTCTGCGAGTTTCGATTGGTGGCTGCAGGAGGAGGTTTGCTGCCAGGCAGAGCCCTCCATTCCTAGCATCTCTCGACGGTTTTCTAAAGATAAACGTTTCTCAGCGTTCGTGCGTTGGGAGAGAGGCTGACGTTACACGAGTAAACACGGGGTTAAAATCCATTCCGTGCGGCTGGGTCCGGGTGCAGGGACCGGCAGGTAACGGGCAGCCGCAGGTACAGCCGCACAAAGCAGCCGGGCTCTTTGTGTGGTGATGGCCGCGATGTGGAAGCAGCAGAGAGAGGTTGTGAAGTTGAGGCTGTGAGCTGTGCTGTGGGCACGGTGCTGCTTGCAGCCTTCCCCCTGTGTGGATGTGCTCCTCGGGTTTGGCACGGCGTGGCTGGGGAGCAGCGCTGCCCGCAGAGCTCTCTGCTACCCGCGGGGCTGTTTGCGTTCCCATTCAGCTGCAGTTTCCATATCTGCTGCTGCACAGGCTGTGCTAGGAACAAGTTTGGAACACAACCATTTTGTTTCGGAAGGAGCAAAACCCAGGGGTGTCTCCTGAAACTTCAGTCCACGCGCTCAGTGTGAGGGGGTGCTGTTTTATTTCTTCTTCCTGCTCTCATCCTGTTCCGTTTACTCTGGTAACCTTGCTTGGCTTTGCCATCTTTGGACTTTTTTTTTTTTTTAAGAGAAAGAATTAAGGTGAAAAAGGTGTTTTGAGGGAATGAATACCTTTTTTTTTTGTGTCTGCATAGTCAGAGGGGTTAAGAAGAGGGATTTTGTCTGTATTGTAACAAACTGAAATCCAGGCTTTTGTTTTGTTCTCACCGCCTGTGCTCCCTTCTGAAAGGCTTCATTCTGAGGCTCTGTTTTCTTTCAGTGAGTTCCCTAAGGCGTCCCTGAACGCGAAAGCAATGGGTGTTGATGCACAGCAAACCCCAAACTGGCACTGGGGTGCAGGGAAGCAGTGGCTGCAATCACTTTGGGTTCCCCCAACTAACGGTGCTGTGACTCGCAGGAAAAGAGTCATTCACCATCACTGGAACAGACGCTGAGCAGCCTGCAGAACAACACAACTAAACGTAGTAGTGTTTGTCCCCAGCATTAGTGCTGGCCTTCTGTAGTTTCTTTCCCCGTGTTTTCTCCCGGTTAATGTGGAAGAACCTGGCTTTGTCCCTTTAGTGCTGTTTTAAAGGGTGAGAGGAGTAAAAGCCTCTTAATTGCAAGCCATGTGATTTTGGTATGCCATCGTGCCTTCTGTGGGAGAACTGAGACGTTCAGAGTGGCAACCAGGACTGTGAGACCTTGGATTTTGGGAGCAGACGTTCTCCTTCACAATTACTGCGATTACACTGCAAACCAGAGCTCTATTGGAACAGATAAAGAGCTGTTAGCGTTTTCTTCTGGAAAAGCAGAGGGCTTTGTCCACCTTGGTCCCTGCTCTGAGGCATGCAGGCTGCCTTCTGCAGAGTGTTGTGTTGTCAGTGCTGCTCTGAGGAGCAAGATCTGGCCATAATGGAGAGCGTGTGTTTCTTTCAGTGGCTTCCAAGCAGTAGTCAGTCAGTTTACAAGAAATGCTGTGTCTGGTGGCTGGGAGTGAGGACACGGCCTGGGAGCACCTCCTGCTCCTGCTGATGGAATGGTAGCACTGTGTAGGGCACGACTGCAGGATCGCTGCTGCAGAACGTTCCCAAGCTTTTAGCGCTTATGATCTAGTTATGGTTGTTGGGTATCACTTGAGACGCAAACACGTGGGTAGTTATCCTGAATCAGCTTTGCATGTAGAGATCCCTGTTCAGTTGTGGCATTTATCTGGGGAAGAGGCTGAGATATGGATGCGGAATGTCCCATCCCTGGCATTTTTCTGTCAGGTGTTCACTGTTCAGGTGGCATAGCACAGATGCCTGTTAGCTCAGAGCCTTTGGAGGAAAGGTGGGATTGTGCTTTGCTGAGGGCCTGGGCTGCTGTGTAGCACTGGGGCTTGGTTACACTGTGTTTGACCAACCCCTTGAGTAAGAGATGTTGGTTTTGAGGAATGTAAGCATGATTGTGAAGCTGTGAGAGTCACTGTTCCTCAGGCTGCCCCATGCTCAGTTCTTTGCACACACTGGAGTGAGGTGGCAGCTTGGTGACGCCGCGCTGGCCGGGGAAATGCCTGTAATTACTGCAAAGAAACTTAATGAAGAGCTGCACGGAGCGCAGATTTGGACTAAGCTTCTGTTATGAGTTTCTGTATGCTGGACCGTTCTTGAAAGAGAAGTGGATGGGTCACTTGGTTACAAAATTCTGCTGTCTGCTGAGCCTTTCCAGCATTGTTTGCTCGCTGAGGTTCCTTCAGAGGTCCAGGCTGCATTCATTTGTGATGTGAGGAAAGCGGCTTTTGTTATCTCCAAAATGCCGCTCTGAAGTTTCTCTGGCTTTTGGTGTTTCTTGTAATTGCTCTAAATTCCCTTGGTGCAGTGCTGAAGTAATCCTAATGCCATTTCAGACGGATTGCCTCTCGCCTCGCTGTGCCACCTATGAGCAAAACGAGGCTGTTGTACGCATATGGCAGACGCCGTCGGAGCCTGATGGTTGTTGTGGCTGCACCTGGGTTGATGGAAGCATTGGGTTCTGTGTGGAACCCGTTCCTGTGAGAGCTGAGAGCAGACTGGTGGATGGAGAACTTAACAGCCCTTGTGAGGAATTAGCAGAAATTAAACCCATTCATCAAGCTAAAATGGGACTAGAAAAGGCCCGGAGCTGTTCTTGATAGTCTTGTTGACTTTCTTTTTTTCCCCCAGTGCTTTTCATAGGACGGCGAGTTGTGCCAAGTCCTCCAGCGGATGACCTTATGTAGTCTTAAGGTGTGTCCAAAATTAGGTCCTTGTCTTTGCTGAGGGCCCAGCAGCACCAGCCGGCATTTCATGGGAGAGGAAGTCAGTATCCATCTGTGCAGAGGGCAGGCTGCAGTTCTGAGGCACGTTGGTGAGCCAAGATGAGCCTCGAGCTTTATTTTGCTGCGCTGGCATGCCGGAGTTGCAGGAGGAGATGCTTGGTGCTTGTGAAGATTCAGCTGATATACACCACGTATCAGAATGAAGTGCTGGGAGGTGT